TATGATAGATATCGATTTTAAATATCTTCCTCTTTTACAAGAGTGGAAATTTGATAAACTTTATGACCTTGAACCTATAATTTACCATCAACTTGTTCGCATCTTTTATTCTAATGTCGTTTGTGTCAAAAATCGAGCTCAAACTAAGACCATAGGAGTTCGTTCCTACCTCCTAGGACAATTCTTACATATTAACTCGGCTTACATAGCCAAAGCATTAGGATTAGATAATGATGGTATATCAAATGAAAAACAGGTTTTAGGTTCTCGTTATAAAAGAATGGATAGTGCGAGTGTCTTAGACCTTCATGATCGTTTTCTTCATCTAATGATTTCCTGGTGGTTTCGACCATCCAGAGGTCATTACTCTACTCTTCGTGCTTTAGATCTTTGGTGGTTACATTGTTTCCAAAACAGTATTAAAATAAATCTTCCTGACATTATTTTTGCTGAAATCGTTGAAACCGTAAACTTAGTGCCAAATAAGAAACTTTGTTCCTCTCTAGTTTATGGTTGCATTCTAAGTAATCTATTTTCTAAAGCCGGGCTTAGAGTAGGTTTAGATGCCATCTTTCCTTTAAAGAAACAATTTAATCTTCTTTCCTTAACGAAAGCGGGATGGATAAAGGATAAGGAAACCGGTGAATGGGTTTGATCTTCTGAAAATACTCCGGGAGCTAGTTCTTCACGAGCTCTACCAGAAGGTGACGACGATCCCGAGCTTGAACAATTAATGCGAGATATCGATGAAGCCGAAGATGAGCCTGAGCAGCCCGAGGAGCAAGCACAGCAAACGAATCCAATGCCTCCATATTTTCAATCTTTTATGGAGACATTCGATTTTCGATATGCTACTATAAATCTGCGCTTTACTTCTATAGAGTCCCATTTATCCGCAATGGGAGCTCAACAATTGGAAATTCTTCAAGAGATGCGTGCAAACAATGAAGCAACCAACGCTCATATTAATGAACTCACTCATGAGATGGCCGCTATGCGAGCTCGTTTTCCTCCTCCCGATCCTCCTACGGATTCTTAATTATGTGTTTTGCTTTATTACTTTGAACTTAAAGCTTATTGTTTAAATATTTTGAATGTTTTTGGATTGTTTTCTTTTTGTTGTTGGATATTTGAACTTATTTGATGGATTATGGATGTTTGAACTTATATATTTGGTGTGGTTAAATTTCTTCATTATTGCATCATTTACATCATGTTAGATATATGACCAATTTTACCATGTCACATTGTTTATGAATATTGATTATGAAACTAATGGCTAACGTTTCTCTTGATTGTGATCTTAGCAGCTTAAACTATATATATAATCAATTGGCTAAATGTTTTTAAATCCTTGTTCAAAATCTTTTCCGAATCTTTTTGATTTAATAAAAAGGGGGAGAAATGTTAAAAGCATTTTAAAGAGGAGTAGTGTTAAAGTAAGGGGGAGTAGTATTTTCAAAGTCAAAATTCTTTTTGAAATTAGAAAATCTTAAAATGTTTTGTTATATCAAAAAGCGGAAGATTGTTGAAAACATTTTGATGTTTCGATATAAAAAATTAAATTAAAAGAATTTTAATTTTGAAAATAATTTTTCTAAGCATATTCGATATATTAAATCGAATATCAAAATATTACTCAAAGTATTTCAAAGTTCATTTAAATCCTTACTCAAGTGTAAAATTAAGTTTTAATCTTAAAAAATAATTTCAAAACGATTTTACAAAATATTTCGAACCATTTCAAAGCCAAAAATTCCAGATTGCTCAGAGGGAACCGATTCCCCCCCAAGGGGGTACCGATTCCCCCTGAATGGTTTGGCTCCGAGAATTCCAGTATGCTCAGAGGGAATCGATTCCCTCCACTGTTCAACGATCAAAATATTTGAATTTTACACCTAGGGAACCGATTCCCCATTAGGGGTACTGATCCCCCCACGCTCCAAGCAGAAATATTAAATGTTTTCACACTTAAACAGATCCAAAAACATCATTAATGATCCCCAACGTTCAGAAGTGATTCAAGGTGTATTTAAGCAATCTTAGAAGCCATTGATAAAAAACAAGAAACATCAAGTAACTAGAATCAAGAGAGAATCAAAGAGAAAGCATCAAACCTCAAGTTTGAGCATTTCAAGCCTATTTTTCATTCAATATTCATTTTGCTTTCAAGAACACTTATTGTGCTCAATTGTATTGAGTGTTTTTTTCTTTGTTCTAGAATTGTGCAAACAATCTACCTTGTGAGGATTTCCTTGTAAGTTTGCAAATTTGTATTGTTCTCTTTGGGAGAGAGTGTTCTCAAGAATTTGAGGTATAATTCTTGAGGGTTTGTAAGGTTACTCTTTGTCCTCAAAAGAAAGACAAATTAGTGAATTTGTGGAAAATCCTTAGTGTGGATAGCTAAGGTAGTGGACGTAGACTTTGGTTGAGAAAGTCGAACCACTCTAAATCGCTGTGCAAATTTCTTTCAATTTTCTGCAAAAGCTTCCATCAAAATTTTTAATTGCCAATTCACCCCCCTCTTGGTCATATTCGTCAATCGATTAACTCAACAAAACTCGTCATATCGAGATAATGAGTTTTGTTGGATATATTACTTTAATGGTCTCAGTTAAGTTGACCCCATGTAAGTTATTATTTTAATATATTTAATAAGACTTGTCATCTCGACGAGATGAGCCCCTTAAGAAGTTATCTTTTTAAATTAATTGAATAATTTTAAAAAAGAAAAAATGGTAGGAAAAGATGGAACTCGCTATGTCGAGATAACGATTTCCCCTGAATTTAAAAAAGCTAGCCATTTAGAGTTGTTGGGTAATGTGCAACTACAACGGTCACCATAGAACTCGTCACCACGAGGTGACGAGTTCGGTCGGATATAATTTTAAAAAATATATTAATTAAATAAATAATCTTTAAAAAAATAATAAAATAACTAATATAATGCAGTTGAATATTTACCGCATGTTGATCAGCGATATCGATCCTCATTCGTATATATCTTTTAGTTGCACCAAAAGCTTGGTATCAGTTATTTATGCAGTTGAATATTTACTGCATGTCGACATGCGATAACAAGTTCATGGTGAACGTTGAAAAGTGACCATTGTTGTAGCACCCTATACTAGTATGACACACAATCGACCGATTAGAATGTTACACGGAACCACTAGAGTGGCTGACCAAAAATTTCTTCATTTATTTTAACTTGAAACGACCATTTAAACTATTTAATTACGAAAAACATTCATAAAATATAATTGAACTTTACATTGGGGAGCTCCCAAACCAAGTATTTACATAAAAATATACATACCAACTTTTACATTAAAGTTACGACTCAATACAATTGGGTCTATAAACATACATGCCCTTCAAAACTTGAGACATACTTTGATCTGTACTTTATCTGAACCTTGTTCACTCAAAGGCTCCTCGAACGCTTCACCTAATCTGCGTAAGGAAACAAATTCCAAACGTTGAGCTAACTAGCTCAGTGCCACACTGACAACTAGATCATACTAAAAGTGTATCACTAAAATGCTCAATCTATCAATTCTACTGCATTAGTGAGTATACTTGCATACTCACTCTCTACTCTCTGGTAGACATCATGGTGCGACAGAGGGTTTTGCATCTCGAAGCTCACATACGCTTCTAGTCTACCGAGGATGGTGCCCGGAATCTTTGCATCGGTCAATACCCTCGACTAACCCACCCCTTGCGAGTGTTGGACCTTAGTCCTAGTTAGTCAACTTAAAGTGCCTTACGCACTCCCTAAGGATATCCAAATTGATTATATACATTCGACACCCTTAATTTTACTAAAGAAACTTGGGTGTCTTGATCGTTTCCCGAGCATCAAGCAAGGCTAGTTTTATGTCACCCTAAGTTATCTCATTTCTACGTGTAATTAAGCATTATTATTTTTCTTGTAATACCCCAAATTTTGGTTAGTGACCAAAACATAAATTTTGAAAGTTTAGTGCAAAAAGTAAAAAGTTAGAAAAGTTTAGGGACCAAAAGGGTAATTTTTAAAATTTAGGTATTTTTAACTCGTAAATGTATATTTCAACCCCAATAATGATCTTTTCATGGGAATCATAATTTTGATCCAGAATTTGCATTAAAAGTTATAAATGAGTAAAGTCCGAAAGAAAATCAGATAATCGGATCGAACCGAAATTATACAAAAATTTGAAGGATGACAGATAAAGGTTGGAAATATTATTTCCAAATTTTAGAACAGTGAAATTTAATTTGGATAAGTGGAATTGAAGTTGATTTTACATATTTAGCTAAAATTGGAAAATTTAGTGACTAAATTGTAGTTTTTGAAAATTTGCAAGGCAAAGGTGGAAAGTAGATTTTTATTTCTTCATATTTGAATTTTGAATATTAAAATGGTTGATAATGCAATGGAAAGATGAAATTATCATGTGTCATTAAGGATAATTTCACATTAAATGAATTTTAAATTTATTTATATTATATTAAGCCAAGTGTATTATGTTTTAATTGAAGAAAAATCAGAAATTTTCAGTTTATTCCAATCCCAAAACGTGCACCGCCATAGCTACAAGGAAAGAATTTTATTTTTCATTTTTAAGCTTGTTTGATTGATTTTTGGATTAAGCTATTAGATAGAGAATTAATCCACTTGAAATTCTCTATCATTTGGTATAAATATTACATGGAGATCATGCTTATATGGTGAATTTAGAAATTAGAGTTTATGTAGGATTTGTTGATTTTGAGGATTTGATGAAAGATTTTTATGTTATGGAAGCTCTTTGAGAAGATATTCTGTGTGGAGTATTGGCAATGGCCTAACCGCAGATTTCTGGCAAGATAATTGGCTAGGCGAACTAGGCCCTCTGAGCACTATCCTCGAGTCTAACGGCCATGCGGTTCCTAGTTGGTCCAAGGAAATTGACTGGATTATGGAGCAAAGGGATTGGGACTGGTCTTTGCTGGCTATGGTGCTCTAGTCTAATATGATCACGTTCATTGAAGCAGTTCCCCCTCCATTCTCGAACGGGGGTGATGATAAACAAGGTTGGAAGTGGGAGCATAATCGACAGTTCACGACAAAAAGTGCTTATCGGCATCGTGCTAGTCCCTACGCGGATCAAGATGCAACTTCATGGGATTTTCTTAATAAATACAAAGGAACTCCGAGTGAAGATGCTGCTGTGGTTAATTTGCAAGGGACGGCTACTCTCGAATGTAGAACGAGCTCGAAGACATCTTACCTCGGAGGTAAATTGTGCGATCTGTGGGGCTGCTCTGGAATCGTCTTCCCACGTCTTAAGGGATTGTCCAGTGGCGAAAGCTACTTGGCAAGGTGTTGTTAAACCGGAACGGTATGGTGAGTTCATGCAAATGGATTTATTTTCTTGGATAAAATGCAATATCACACAACCAGACTATTTCTCTTCAAATTATGAGCATTGGGACTTAAAGTTTGGATCTATTGTTTGGTGTTTATGGGATAGACGGAACAGACCACTCTTTGACGAGGACTTTGGTGTGGGAGATAGCATCTTTGATCGAAGCAATCGCCTAGTGAATGAAATGGTAAGTTCTCGAGCTGCCCTCCTGAATGCGCGGTTGGCACAGGGAATTTTCAATAACCGACAGGATGAAAGGTGGCAGCCACCGGCTAGTGGGTGGTTTAAATTGAACTCTGATGGGGCGAGACATACGAGCACAGGAATAACGTCGTGTGGGGGAGTTATTCGGGATGCAAATGGCGAATGGATCATGGGTTACGCTAAACCCATAGGAACTTGTTCTGTGTTGGATGCTGAACTATGGGGTATCTTTGAAGGTCTCAAATTAGCTTGGCATATGCAACTTCCAGCGGTTATTATCGAAACGGACAGCAGTGATGCAGCTGCGGCTTTGAAGGAAGATGGGAATCGATGGGGTATTTCTTAACTGGTGCCACATATAACTAATTTATTACAACGAAACTAGAGGGTAGTAATTAGCCATATATCTCGAAGATGCAATACCATTGCTGATGGAATGGCGAAGATAGCACGTTCGGCAGAGTTCAATTTTTTCAGGAACCGCCAATGGAGGTAGCTACCGCGTATTATCAGGACTCTGCTGCTGCATGGCGGCAAAACTAGTATTTTAAAGCTGTAATTTCCTTTTATTAATATATATATATATATATATATATATGTGAGTTAGATTCCTAATTATGAATGAGTATATGATTTTTATCTTAATTTTTCTATTATACTAGTATATAATATTTTCTAACTAAAAATAACCACTAGCTTTATTAAATAGAGAGCAAATACGCTAATTTTCATATAAAAAATCTATACAATCAAAATTAATCAAAATCAAAATTAAAAATTTACTTTTAATTAGTATTGAACCCATAATTTAAAAGAAATAGAAAGTATCAATCGAAAAGTTTTAATCATCTCCTCTAGTGATTGTTAATATATTTAATAATAATAATATTTAACAAACTCTTGTATTAATATATCGTTAAAAAAACTAAATTAGATCTCATGTGTATCTGTGACATAATATCTTAAATATGTAACAGGATATGTGATCTATAATATAACAAATGTGTAATGCTAATTATTATAAGAATGATTAATTAAAGCGATTTTACTCACTATCAGAGTTGATAATATAAAGAGAACAATGAGAGTTCTTATAATATCTTTTACATATCATCACATGAAATATTTTATTGTTAATCATTTTGTCTATTTCTGTTAAAGAATCTGACGAGACAATATGTATCATTTTTTAAAGAAAAAAAATCTTTATTTACTTAAACGTATAATAATAAGATTAGTCCTAAATGTTTCACTACTTTCCAGTTTCAATCTTGAACTTTAAAAATATATAAAAAAAATGGTATATGTTTATTTTCAAAAAAGTATAAAAAAATTCATACCAATAAATGATCGGCATTTGTCACTTTTCTAAAGAAATTCATCTCTCACTTAAGGCATAATAACAACATTAATCCTCAAAAGTTTACTATTTTTTCAATTTCACCTTATATTTTACAATGACAACCTCATTATGTTGAAAATTTTCAAATGAGTCTTTTTTATTCTTTATATTCCCAAGAAATAATAGAAAAATGAGTCCTCATGTTTCATTGATATTTCAATCGGGCCCTTATTTTCTTTTTACAATTTCAACCTCAATATGTCAAAAATTTTCTGATAAGCCATTTTTATTCTTTATATTCTCTAGGTATAATAGAAAATCAGTCCTCAATATTTCATTGTTTTTTCAATTTTACCTTTTTTTTACAATGTGAGGACCAATTTGATTTTTTTTTTAAATTCATTGTTAGCATGGGAAAACTAAGTTCATAGACGGACATAAAATTTTATGTTATGGTTGCGAATTTTAGAAGTTATGTTAGAAATTTAGGGAGGTGCGAAATTAGACAATCAATAAAAAATACCTAAAATAAGTGAATTTGAAATTTATTGAGGGTGTAACTGCTTCCCCTGGTTTATCCCCGGCCAAGGCATAAGAATTTGGAGTGGCTTCTCGGTCATTGCAGGAGGAAGAAAGAGCTTCTTTTGGTCTATGATCATACGGAAAATGACAGCCTTGACTAAATGGAATTGTAATTAGTAAATTAAGAAGCATGTTTAAGCCTAAGGTGGAACGACTTCTCACCAAGATGGAATTATGGTACGTAAATCTCTTTGGATCAATATCAGTATATGACATTTACAGGACCCCGAAATCCCGTATCCCATCCATGTACCGGCAGGAGCTAGCGTACTCGTGAAGATTGCCGATCACTGTCCGGGATGTCCACCAACCGTTAGTCATTCACGGGAAGCCTTTGCTTTTATTACCAACCCTGTCGCCGGCATCGTTAACACTGACGACAAGCCGTATGCGAAACACATTATCATCCCCTTGACCACTGTTGATTGGTCACACATATTTTGAGGTTTGGATCTGCGCAGAGTCGTGGTTAAATTAAAGCTGCAGAGCTGCAGTCATTTGGGGATGGGCCTGCAAGGTTTGTTCTTTTAGTACCATTGCCACAGCCTCAATTATTGAAAATTATTTGTTATTGCACAGTGGTAAAACACACTTTTCTTTTCGTTCTTCTTTATGTTATACAGTTAGATTTGAGTACATCAGCCACTTAATGCGGTGCAGTTAGCTATATTCTGCTTTGTTGCGTGTTAGCGTATACATACGTTTATGTATAGAAACGGTGAATATGGTGAGAGAGGAAATGCATTATTACTAGGACTTGAGATTGGATGATAGTGTTCCCTACTGATTTTTGTAGTGGTCCCATAAAAATTCTGAGTGTTCCCCTAAGTGGGGTGGTGCCAGTTGTCGTCATAAATCATTTCTGTACAACTGGTGATTATATTTCATTCACTTGACTTATGAAAGGTCATATGCTTGCAAGTGTATGCCCTGAATGCCTGTACTCCGGGTGACATTTTAATACCTTCAAGCGCTCAACTCAACCTTAAGCACCACACTCCTAACAAGCTAAATTTTCTTTACAAGTTATATCTCAGTTGTTATTTCTTCGTCTATTGAAATTTAAATTTTCAAAATTCTACATCCTTTTATCAGTCTCAAACCTGACATGATCATTGACATACTCATATAATTTATTGACTATATCTATATCTATTTAATTTGTCAAATTATAATTAGTCATTATTATTTTAGGTCATACATCAACACTAATGTCTCTATATAAATCACCATATAAATCTGGTTCAACCTCTAAATTGCTCATCATCTCCGTTAAACTATCACCTACAACCTTCCATCCAAACCAAAAATAACAAATTGTCAAAAATCACCCAATCTCATTTTTACATCAACGATTATTATTAACCCAAAGGATTATATAGAATAATATGCATATATATCTAAAGTATCTGTCAATTACCTCATCTCGAATCTCGCTAATATTGCAAAAATGGTCATATTAAAATGGCATGATAATGCATATGAAAATTGAAAAGTTGCTTTTTATCATGAATGGGGGAGATGGGTTTCGAAGAGTGGTGATGATGGGAAATAAGGCTAAGATAGGGTGGTCTCCACAAGGTCACTCACTCTCTCTATCTATGATGCAGACAGTGGAGAAAATGACTTTGTTTATGGCATTTGAAATTCTGTGACATTTGAAAGTTGTGCAATTTACATTGTAAAAGCAACATAGTATGTGGGATGGGGGTGTTATGATGTGAGTGTGACTTTCGGAAACACCCCACACAGGCACAGCTGCATAACCTCCACTTGTACGCCTCTCACATCAAATCATCAGCGTCTACTTTTTATGTATAGCTACACAAAAATCACCCAAAAATCACAAGTATATTCAGATGTTTTACCCAAAAATTACCCAAATATATATTATTTATCTATCAGACACCGTTTCTTTAAATATTACTGATCTAACACCCTTCGACAATAAAACATGGTTCACCAATTGCGACTTGCACACGTGGATGGAAGACGCGGATCATCAAACGCACCTTCCGTCCGAGCTGGCACCACGGGGTAAAGCTTGGATCCTCAGGCACGCATTCTTTGAGATTCTGACACGTGTTGATTCGTGCATTCCATTATTCCCCAAAATTATTGCCCTTTCAATTATTTACCCAGGCCGACAATCTGTCATCTCATCCCTATAAATATCACCCCAAATGTAAATATCGAACCACACAAAGATCCGACAATATTCTTCTTCTATCAATTCATTTTATCAAGTTAAGTAGAAGTTTTTATAGTTTTTAGCAGGTAAAATTATTTTATATTATATTATATTTATTTCATATTGAATTGTTTGACCAAATTTTATTGTATTAATTATGTTTTATTTCTTTTTATGATTGTAAAATAGAAAGCGTGATCATATCTCGAGGCATTTTGTCGATACGGTAACAATATTAAATTGTGTTATTTAAATTATTGTGAATATTTTAATTTTTTTAGTATTAGTTTATATTTTAATTCTTATATTAGAAACAATTAACGTCGTTTTTTTACAGATATAAGACTCTTATCTTTCAAACTCTCAAAATGATGTTTATTTCAGCTATTGTTTACTATGATGGAGAAATTCGGGAAGATGAAACTGGCGTTGTCTTCACATCAAATCATTATATTAGTTTATCCTTCATGAGAAACATCACTCTTGAGGAGCTAATCACTAAAATTTCAAAGAAGGTCCATGTTGGAAGTACTAAAAGATTGTCTTCACTTCAGTATAAATTTCCAACATCACTATTTATGTTAACTTATACAGTGTTCGAACTCTCCAACAATGACGATGTTGATGTGATGGTTGATGCTCAGAATCAAAATTCAGATGATGTTACACAAATGTATGTCACATTTTTTTTAAGTATCTGCTGTTCTTGGTATGTCATTATGCTCCCACTATGGGCTGACTCAACAAGCTGATCAAGTAGACAACTCAACTCAAGTAATGTGTAATGATTTTAACTCATTAATGGGAAATCCATATCCTGGTACCATCCCATTAAGTTCAATGGGGAGAAATTCATCAGCAACTTGTTACGATCTCTACCAAGGTGACTCCACGAACAATCCATATGGCAACATCTCTTCCAGTTCAAGGGGAAGACATTCATCTACCAATTTATTTGACCTGAATATGGAGATGCCTTCGACGCATTAATATGTACAGTACCCATTTGACACGATGCCTTCAAGTTTCAGGGGGAAGCATTCAACTGCGAGCTTCTTCGACCTCAATGTGGAGATTCCTGTGACACAACGCTCAGTTAAAAACCTATTTGGCACGATGTCTTCAAGTTCAAGGAGAAGGCATTCAATTACTGAGACTGAACTATTCGTTGAGCCTGAATCACTACAGTTCAACATGTACTCCGATGATGATGATGATGTAGATGAAGTTT